CATCCGCGGGAAGATTAAATCAGTCCCGGGAGGAAGAGGAAATGGAAAATGAAAATTGTCTTGAGATCCAAAAATAAACTATATGAGAAATTAATATTGTTAAAAATTAATTAAATTTTAAAAAATGGCGAGATTATCAAAAAAATTGAGGGGGAAGTAAAATTGATGATAATTCTGAACAACAATCCGGCCGCTGAAAAAAAATTGCCGCATAAGACAAGGAAGTGCAACAAAAGGGAGACGTGAATCGACTTTTATTTCAAGTTCTCTTATATTTTTATATTTCATGAAAGATAATTTTCATATGTGTTCACTTAACAGTATCATGCGTGCTCCATATATCCGTACACAGGCCTAATAATTTCTTATTTTCATATATTAAAATGGTAAATGCGTAACACGAATGAGAAGGAAAAAAATGCAAAGATCCCAGGTTACACCTCTATCCATACTACAGTTGCCTTTTAACGCTGGTTTCCAATTTTAGTGGTTAATAATCTGTGTGAAGTCCACCTGTTAAGTGTTTTCATCGTTATCAGCTGATAACATCTCCTTTAACTCTTAAGCTCCAACGAATGACCATGATAGAATTTCTCCTTACAATACTGATACAATATCGAGCCGATAAGTAACGGAAATCAAGAAAAATATCAATTAGGGCATTATCAATTGATCCAATACCAATTACTTCAAACTAACATCATCAGAATCGTATGGCTGACAGAAAGGAGAATTGCTAACGAGATCTTGGAAGTGAAAGGGAGCTCTGTTGACATGCAACGAAAAATTTTGATAAAGATGATTCATGAGCTGAAACGCGAGTGATTGATAGAACAGAAATTTTTTGCCATCAATTTTCGAGCTAATACTAATGATAAGATCTTAGGTCAAATGCAGTCATATTCAATCACTAGCATGTGAAATTTATCGTAGTATGGTCGTTTTGATACAAATGGATTCGATACAAACTAAAAGACAACTCGATAGATACAGAAGGTCGTTTCGATACAACTTCAGTCATTTTGAGACAAACTAGCAAAAGATAAATTTGGATGTTTTCAACTGTCTTCCAGTCCAATGAAGGGGGACAGTATTCATCTACTATTTAGACGTGGTTTTCCTGGTGTAGTTCTCTTAAGGTAGTTTCCTTTGGCACTGATCTGTTAGAGAAGTTGTCTTTTTCTCCAGAACTGAGACGGTGTTTTCGTTTCTCAAAACGCTCGGTGAAGTTGTTCTCATCTTTCAAGACGTCAAAAAGGGTTCTCCTTGTTGGAACTACAACAGATAAACATTGAATTTTAAATTTGTGGCAAAAAATATTTTTGACAACCAAAACAACCAAGCAGCGACAGGGGTAATAACGTGTGCACACGTAGGCCTGGGCTTGAGCTCAGCTGAAAATTGTGTTGTGCTCCTGGACGAGACACTTTATTTTCTCAATGCCGCTCGCCATCCAGGGGTATAAATGGGTAGTGGTGAACTGCCAGGGAGGCGTGACGAGATGCTGTGGGGTGGGGGATAACCTGAGACGACTACATCTCCTCAGTGGGGTGGGGCGGAGGGAATATTCGTGCATGTGGACTCTTCATGTCATAACAGCTGTGATAAACCAGGCCCTGATCATGGAAACACCCAGAGAAAGTGAATATTAGAAGCTAATAGTGGATGTACATATGGACGTCAGAACCGCCAACGTTAATCAAAACTTCGCAATCACGCCACGCGATACGCAGTTTCATTAAGACAGTTTTCTTAAAGTATCGAGACCAAAGGATACGCTCGGACGAAAAGCAACTAGGAAACGGCAAATGACGTCATAACAAAGAGGGGTTCTCAAGAAGCTCTTAGGTGGAAAGATATACCCCGAGGGCATTCTATTGAGCAGCACGTTCTTTAAGATTAAATGAATAAATTTCTCCTCAGGTGACGACGCCACTGACGCACAGTGGACACAGGTGTGACGATGACAGTTAGTGCCACTGTGGTAAAGTTGAAGAAGGTGTAGGTGGGTCTAGTGATGTTAGGTCGCAAACGGTAATACAGAACAGCCATGCATCACTGCGTATTACCGATCCTTGGTTGTGTCTCAATAAAATTTTCTTAATACCCCATAAGGGTCTGTAGTATTCTGATGATCCCGCTCACTAGAGGTCAAATTTCTTAATTTCACCCCTCCAAACTCTGTTAGAGGCGACTGGTCTCCCTTCATACCCCCTTGAAAACCACGTGATCCTCCCCCCCCTCCTAGAATCCTTCGACCCACCCCGAAGGGGCTAAATAATGACAGGTCCACTTATTCCTTTTTTGAGTCTACAACATGTGGTTTACAAGATGTTTTTAATTTTACTTTTTATAGAACTCAGCTGGATGAATTTAGAGTGAAATTTGAGCATTGTCAAAGTTTTCGGCAGTTCGTGTTTGGCATCATTTGCAAAAGTTTCATGGATTCTACATACCTGTAGTAGAATTGACGGCGGGACTTCTAGGGGCTATGAAAAAAAAAATACATATCACTATCATTTGAAAAAGTGACATTTTCTTCCTACATAAACAAACACCAGACGTGCGCAAGTGAACGAAAAGGTGTGTACTAAGACGATCGGTATTGTAAACGATTGGCACACGTCTTCGAGATTGCTTCACTCCACTGAAGACAGCAAGGAACAATATTCCCCCTGTTAAATTTCTCAAACGTGCATTATCAGAAGAATTTCCGTTCCGAGAATAGTTCAAATCAGAAAAGCAACTACTCACCAGGCGAGGAATTTTTTTTAATTCGTTTGTACAGCATGGAGAGATACGTCATCACGCTCATCTCGTCAATCTCTTCCATTGATACCAGGTCACTTGCCTCCAAAAGAGCTGGAACTTTGAGTTTTTCCTCGGCCACTTTGAAAGCCTGAAATATAAAACTTACTTTGCTCAACACAGCTAAAACGTGAGGCAATGCGCTCTTTGACTTAAGTAAGTTCTTGAATTTCATTCATCGTCCTTGCTCTGTTTTCCTCAAGTTATGATACATTTTCGTCCGTTCGTTTATGGAGAGACTTGAAAATATGGAGATCAGTTATACATATCACAAAACTAAAGCTCTCTCTTTCTCGAGAATGCACGGTTTGGTCCAAGTAAACCTACCAATTCATTGTTTTTCAAGGCGTCCTCCTTAGAAAGGTCGTCAAATTTGCTGCAAAGTGAAAGAAAATTATCAGAAATATCTCTGTGGAACCAATCCGCAAACCTTAACTTGTCCAACTCAATATTTTGAGACCCGCGTCATGTTAACGTTATTAGGGACCGCCATTGTAAGTCTAAAATACAACTATACCATGCTTTCATTTTAGCATCATTTCAAAATCTGCTAATAATTACATTTTCCCCACCTTCGGCTTGTCTTTTCCTCCAACCTTACAAAAAAAGTTTATTGACATTATCCATCGATGGTTCACTTCCTATATGCTATTTAGTGCAGAGTCGAAAGTTCGCCCTCTTAAGGGCATCTGTATATTTCATATTTACTTGTGTATTTAAAAAACTTTAAGTCAAGGTCAAAGTCGAAGAAAAAAACATACAATTTAGGTTCTTATAAAAGGGGTATGACTCAAAATCAAAGTGCTACGATCAATCTCGAGCTAGAACTAGGCGTTAATTTTTTTTTTGCATAATAAAGCTTCTGTGGCCTTAATATTCTTGTTACCATGGCTGCAATCAATAACGCTCTATTTGTTCGATGTTTATCAATAATTTTTAACGTTTCCACTTAACTTTAATATAAAAGACACAGTTTGAACGATTACTCGTATGTAAAGGCGGCAGTGAAACTTTTTCAATTTTATTTTTCACTGGATGTCTGCGAGATGAACGCGTTGCGGTTCTTTAAAATCTGTACTTAAATAATTCAATATTTTAGGGACACTTTTGCATTGATACGTGCCTCTTGGTTAAATCTCTCGTCTCGCTTGGTGACCTCAGACAATCAATTAACATAAATAAGTTTGGGTTCACTTCAGAGGATTATACAGATTAGAAAGTTTCCCGTGA